TACCTGGTTGCTATTAAATCTAGCAAGGATATTTTACCTTCTCCAGTACTGGCTTGAACCAAGGGGCCTTCGGAGAAAATAAACTCATTTTGGAAATGTAGCCAATGTAACTCTGTTCAGTTTACTCAACACTTGATGCAGGATCGAGGGAATGTAAGGAAAGAAAGGAAGTACAAAATCCCCCCGATACCCCTCCCTTCCTCTGGGTGCCTCAGAGAAACAGAAATATCCCCAAATCCCAGCTATTCTGTGCCTTAGTGCTTTCCGTCCTCATCTCTCACCATCACGCCGTGTAACGTGTGGCAGCTGCTACAGCACAGTTTTCCGTGGCAGCGTCTTGCGTTCTGACTCACTGCTCCTATCAGTTTTGCACAGCAACGTTTCAAGCTCATTGCTCACTTCTGCTATTGACTTTAGTCAGCCCCAGTCCTCAGAGCAGCTGTGTCAGAATGAGAATAGGAGTTGCAACAACAAAGTCCAGAAAGCAAGGTTATTATTACCAGGGGCTGTAAAACTAAGATCTCGTGTCTAAAGAGTAGACCTTAATGCATTCTACCATCCAGCTTAAGGAAGGCATAGAAGAAAAGTCAGTCACAGATGTGGAATGATTTAGAATTTAGAAGCTATCCAGAATTTCAAAGGAGTAAGTATTCCTTTAACAGGAAACAAGAATCTATATACTTTAATCTTGTCTGTACACAGTTATAAAATTTAGGAACTATACATCATACCCAACTGCTTTGGAGTAATCACCTCTTTGGATTTCTCAAAGGGATGTTAATATACTTGAACTTTTTTTTTTTTACTCTGGCGCCCATGCTGGAGTGCAGTGGCTTGATCATAGCTCACTGGAACCTCCACCGCCGGGGCTTGAGTGATCCTCCCACCTAAGCCTCCCAAGAAGCTGGGACTACAGGTGTGCACCACAATGCCCAGCTAATTTTATTTTTTGTAGAAATAGGATCTTGCTATATTGCCCAGGCTGGTCTTGAACTCCTGGCCTCAAGCAATCCTCCCGCCTCAGCCTGCCGAAGTGCTGGAATTAGAGGCATGGGCCACTGCACCTAGCCTTGAATTCTTAATAAACTGTTTTCTGTGACTTGATTCTACTCAAAAAGAAAATAGAAAACAATATCAAAACATAAAAATTGGCATTAAATTAGTATTAAAAACCAAACTAGGATTTCTTATTTTCTTTATACATCTTATTTATGTTGACAGATTAGAATTTGATTAACATTTGCACCAGGTTAACTCAGGATGTCAATTCCTTCTATTGCCTTGAGATGCTCTAGGACTAACAGAGTTCTCCTAAAAGAGACTTCTGGGTGGACAGGAAGGATGTGAGAGGACCGCAGGAAGTGGAGCTCCATCAGCTGAGCTCTGCAAGGTGTTTAAGATCATACATACACACACACGCGTCCACGCATGCGTGCACACACATGTACACAGTTTTCCTTCCGTATATCTCAACTTTCTGGAAATTGTTTTCCACTCCAGAACTTATTGGATTTCAATGAATTGAGGGAAAACATTTTAAAAGTAGTCATTTAAGTACTTGCCATGATCACTTTGTCCCTGAGATCTCTGTCTTCCCCTCTCTCAAGTTCCACTGTGTAGGAATCTGCTCCCTCCTTGTTGTTGGACCCGTATGTTTCTGGACCTAATACTTCTTTTAATTAGACCTGTATTTCAGGTCTAATTTCTCTCTATAATACTCATCATCCTCCTACCTCCAACATACACATACCTGCCTATGCAAGCATCTGGGTTGCTGTGACCGAGGTTTGTTAGGTCAGGCAGCACAAGGGCAAGGTGAGGGGAAGGAGAGGAAAGAAGGCAGAGACAGAAGCAGAGGGAAAGGGAAAAATCACAGATTCCTTTTGTGCCTCAAAATAGGATACATAATACACGTGAAAAGCATTCACCAAAAAAAACCTACATTTTTTAAATGTTTGCCTTTACCATTTCCTGGGTGTCCGTAAACACAAGGAGATGTGCATCTTTGGCTAAGCAGAATTCCCGACTAGACATCCAATCCTTTTTCTCCACTGAGAAATAGTAGCAGCGGCTACCATATCTCATCCAGAGGTCTGGGCAGCTAGGGCAGCTGGCACGAGTGGAGTCGGAGGAGCCTAGAAAGGAAGAGGACCTGCATCACATCTTTATGGATGACTCAATCTTAGAAATGAAACGGGAGATAAAATGGAACATGGCAGTCCCAGGTCTTCCCTGCCCCACCGCCTTTCAGATTAAGTGTTGCAGAAATGCACAGCAATGCATGGTCTCAAAGCGAATACCTCCCAATGTCCAACTCCGTCGCTGCTAGTGTGCATTCCACTAAGCGAGGATGGGACTGTGACTAAAGGAGCAGGGAAGAAAATGTGGCACAGTCTGCCTGAGGACTGTGGAGAGAGTACAGTACTCATGCTAGACATCTCTATGCACATGTGATGTACACATACCAGAGAAAGCACTGCATTTGTGGGATATGTATCTGTGTACTGCCTGTACAGGCTCAGTACAGCGCTTAAATCAGGCAGAATTATTCAGAATGCCCAACCTCAACCTGATACCCCACAATGGTGCATAAGAAAAGGAAAAAAACTAGAAAAAGAAAACTTAACCAGAATGAAAGGTTTTGTCATTTTATTATCACAGATGTGATTGTCTAGCATCATTGGAAACTGGATAAAATACACTTCAGCAAGAAGAATTTACCTCAATTTAAAAAAAAAAAAAAAGATTTTCCAACAGAAAAGCATATCAAATGCTAAAGTAAAAAGTGATAGAATTCTAACTGAGCTTTTTCAAATACAGGAGATCCTCATTCCTCTAAAACTGCTGACTTACAGTTCTGACAAAATTAACACCAGAACTGGGCTGGGCGCGGTGGCTCATGCCTATAATCCTAGCACTCTGGGAGGCTGAGTCAGGAGGGTCACTTGAGCTCAGGAGTTTGAGACCAGCCTAAGCAAGAGCGAGACCCCGTCTCTACTAAAAATAGAAAAAATTAGCTGGGCATAGTGCCACATGCCTACAGTCCCAGCTACTTGGGAGGCTGAGGCAGGAGAATCACTTGAGCCCAGGAGTTTGAGGTTGCTGTGAGCTAGGCTGATGCACTGCACTCTAGCCCAGATGACAGAGTGAGACTGTCTCCAAAAAAAAAAAAAAAAAGAAAAGAAAAGGGGGGTTCTACCTAGGTGTGTTAACAGTGAGGGGCTCAGGGTATGGAGTTTATGGGATGGTTTAAGGAATTTGGCCAGTTTCTTTCAATGTTTTGGGCAAGGACCTAGATACTTTTATGAGTGCTTGCGAATATTCAAGGACCCAGGTTGGATTCAAGCTTGCAGGGATCAGAAAGAAAGCGTGGGGAACTGGGCAAGAAAAATCAAGAATTTGAATATATCTAAATATATATGTAAAGAGCAAGAGGAAGAAAGAGCAGATGTCATACATTAATACAAAACTGAGAAAAGAACAAAGCAATTCAATTTGAATTATTTTTATTTTCTCTATCAAAAATAATCTTGAAGTCCAAGATAGAAAAAGTGATCATAAGTAAGCATCTTGCTATTTTAAATATATTTAAATCTCGGGAGCCATATAATGTACATCCCATATTTCGAATTCAAAGAATTTTTTAAACATGTACAGAAAAGCAAAGGCACCAGAAGACAATTATTAGAAAGAGTTATCTTGTTTCTCAACATGCACACGATGGATTCTAGAAGCTGTCAGATACAATATTTCTACACGTGGCTTTGAAGGTGAGTCGA